AATTAATTCGTTTATTTTGGCTTGCTATCAGGCAAATGCGCTCACTAGAGATAGAGAGAGGGAAAGTGAGAAATCATCCCCCTGGGGAGTGATGGCCATGCTGCAAATCTTTCATCTCCATTCTTCTTTTGGGACTTGGGACATGCATGCACATGTGCCTGGAGTGACTCTCAAGCCCTTTGTTGGGGACTTGAACCATGCAGATGGCCTAGTGGGACCCAGTCAACTCAACCTCCCAACCTCCCAACCTCCACAACGACTGCTAGCCTTTTTTTTTTTTTAATTAAGAAATCACCATATTGTTACTGATGTATGATTACATCAATGAACATTTACTAAAACTGAGTGCAAGGGTTCCAATTGAAATGTTAATTTATACTGTCATTTGATTTTTTGATAATAGCCATCCTAAGAGGTGACTGTGGTTTTGGATTACATTTCCCTGATAATCACTGAGGCTGAGCACACAGGTGGTAACCACTCTCTCTCAATACAGTGGTCATCATCCAAGGTCTGGGGCTGACAAGGTCACTGAACCCACAGCTGCTGGCGATGGTGAGCTCTCTGTGGTCCCTGTGGAGCTCAGTTTTAGAAAACTCGGTGTGGGACGCACTGATACAAACTCACTAGTAAACACAGAAATGTCTTTGGTTGGTGAGTATCGATTCACAAAGGGGCAGGCTGGCAATGACTACCCAAGACGTGGGAGTCAGGGCACAGGGGCACAAATATGACTCTTCTCCTTCATAATCAATTCTGCTATTTAAATGTATCACAGTATGTATGTAACCTGATGCAGACATAGTTATTACATAAATACTTGAATGCTTTCAAAGAGTTGTCTCATCACCCAGACGCCTGTCAGAGGGGAAAGCAGCACTTCTTGGGGCCAGACAGGTACCAGGTCCAACTCCAGCACCAGAGGACCCTCCTTGCTCTAGGGAGAATGGGTCTCACGGAGACTGCCTGATAGGAGCAGAGGGCGAGGGTTACAGACCCTCATGACAGTATCACAGAATCATTTGCCTCTACACACTACCCAAGACGACAGAGGAGAAGCCAGAGAGATATTATCCGCTCACGCTTCAGCTGTTGTATGCTCATTTTCACCTTCAGTTACAGGCTTAGTTAAAGACAATTTGTTCAAACCAAAGACCATTTTCTTCTAAATTTCTCTTGTACACCTTTAATGAATACTCAAATGATTAAAATGTGAAATAGGAAAGGCCTGCAAGTCCACTTTGGCTCTTCTTTTCATATTTCAGAAATTGGAATGGTTCCTTAAAATACACTCGCTAAAATATTTAGAGGAAAAATATAACACGTGCTGAAAGGTGACACTCTCACTGCTTCCTTATTGGACAGGGCAGCCTCAGAGAACACAGTTTTATAGACAGCCTCATCATTTCTACTTGGTGACTCTTAAAAGCTTTTTCAAGGATGCCACTTGGCTATTGTTTAAATATAATGTTGTTATGATACAATATTTATTAAGCTTTTTCAATCATTTAGTGCAAAAAATAAAAATAGGGGTCAGCAGGTGGTGTGGTGGTTGGGGCACTGAACTCCCACAAGGCTGACTGTGATTTGAGTCCTGGATCTGGTGAGTTAGTATCTTGCTTCCCTCTCACTCTCTGTCTCTCTCTGGTGCCTGAGAGTGAATTAAAAAGTGATGATAAGAATAAGTAAAATTAAATAAATAATTCCTAAAAAAATAAAAATAGACCATGCAGTAGAAATATACTCTTGGTATTAGTCATGAGATGAATCATCGAAATGAATGAGGAGGGTTTATCCACAGACCTTTCATGGCAGCGCAGCTGGAGGAGGAAAACTGACTGCACAGGAGGAGAACGGCCATGAATAGGCCGAGTCACAAAAGTGATGCAAGTGGCAGAAGATTGACTTCACACACAAAATCCTTCTGGCAGAGCCTAGCATAGGCAGGCTCTGGATTTTAGCATAGGCTCTGTAACTGCTGCCACCATTTTAGCATAGCCTCTGTCATTGCTGCCTCCATTTCCTTCCTCTCAGAGGCCAAAGGAAGGAGGTTGACCAGATGTCCTGCCAGAGACAGAAGCTGGTGGGTGGCTCAGGTTGACATCTCAGCTGACTCCACATCCTTGCCCTGCTGCCTCAGGCTCCATCTGGGCTTCCTTACTGGGAGTTACATTTTGTGAAAGTATGAAATACATTTTAAATGTGGAAAAGTAGAAAAAAGAACATGGAGACATAGTTTTCACCCACTGCTCAGACTTAATAGACGTTAATAAATACCAATTTTCTCTATTCACTTCCAATGTCATTTTTATCAAAAGAAACAAAGTGTGTTAAAGTACATATTAATCCGCCTCCTCCATCACCATTTTTGCTCCTAGCTTTCATCCAAGACAACCACCATTCTGAAATCAGGACACAGTGTTCTAGTGTTTTCCGTAGCTTTGCTATCTTTGCTTGTTTGAGGGCGTTTCTGAGAGCATATATGTCATCTCCGAGCAAGGGAAGCCATTAGAGCAGACACTGTCTATCAAACACGTCAAATTGAGCATGCAGTTTTGGGACATCAGGTTAATCACTTTAACCCAAGGCAAGTTCTGCTTTTAGGTGCACACCCACCTCCCCATCCTGCTGTGAGAAAGTAGCACGTGAAGGCTGACAAAACCAACAAACTCCTGCAAGAGAGAGCGACGGTGCGATTTCCCTA